CTCTTTCTTTTTGTTCTTGTTGTCATCATCTTTCTCACTATTGTATGGACATTTGCTAATAAGATGATCTTTGCTTCCACAATTGAAGCATCTCCTTGCCTCTTCCTTACTCTTGGATGAATACTTCTTTCTTCTAGCTCGATAGCCCTTCTTTACCATGAACTTGCCAAACCTCTTGACAAAAAGAGCCATTCTCTCATCATCATCATCATCCTATGAATCATCATCCTCACTTGATGTTTCTTGCTTGGCTTTGCCCTTGGATGATGTGGCCTTGAAAGCCACGCTCTTCTTCTTGTCATCCTTCTTCTCATCTTTCTTTTCTTTCTTTTCTTCCTTCTCATCATCATCTCTATAGGCATCATCGGTCATGATATCTCCCAAGACTTGGTTTGGTGTCATTGTGTTCAAACCACTCCTTACTAGCAAGGTGACCAATATCTTGAATCTTATGGGCAAACATCTCAAGAACTTATTTGAGAAGTCATTGTCCTCTATGTTCTCACCGAGTGCCTTGAGATCATTGACAATCACTTCCATCCGGTGGAACATGTCCAAGCACACTCTCATCTTCCTTCATTTTGAAGCTCGCAAACTTCTCTTTGAGAATATAAGCTTTTGCACCCTTCACGGCTTGAGTACCCTCAAAAGATTCTTCCAACTTCTTCCAAGCCTCATGTGCCATCTCAATATTCTTGATTTGCTCAAAAGTTCTTGCATCAATTGCATCATGAATGGCACTTAGAGCAATATCATTGTTTTGGAGAAGTACTTCTTCGGCGGCGGTGGGATTCTTCGGATCATCAATCTCAATTTTAGTTTCTACCACCTTCCACACCTTTCTATTGATTGACTTGATGTGTGTAGTCATCTTTGACTTCCAATATGAATAATTTGAGCCATCAAATTGGGGTGGCTTCTTGGTGTTGTTGATTTGAGCAATTTTACACCGAAGGTTGTTAAGCCTCAAATTAACGGTGACCTCGGCTCTGATACCACTTGAAAGGTCCTAATGGCTAGAGGAGGGGTGAATAGCCTAAAAAAATTCTACAACAACACTTAACAAAATGTGTTAGACAATTTTGTGGCGAAGAGAGTGTTGCGCTAGCCTACTAAAATGCAAGCCACCTACCACAATTCTATTTCAAATAGTGTATGTCCACACAATAGCTATGACACTTAGCTAAATTAGTGTGCTCTCAAAGACTAACTAAAGAGCAACACTAATCAAACAAACAAGCTCTCACAACTAGCTACACTAAAGAGCTTGATAACTAGTTTTGATGTAATGTAAGAGTGAGCAAGAGAATTATACATTTGTGTAGTGGTAGGAACCAATCAATCACAATAATGAATACCAATGTAGACCAATCACCTCGGAATCAAATGATGAACACAATGATTTTTACCGAGGTTCACTTGCTTGCTTTAAGCAAGCTAGTCCTCGTTGTGGCGATTCACTCACTTGGAGGTTCACGCGTTGATTGGCATCACTCGCCAAACCCTCAATAGGGTGCCGCACAACCAACACAAGATGAGGATCACACAAGCCACAAGCAATTTACTAGAGTACCTTTTGGCGCCCGCCGAGAAAAGGTCAAGAACCCTCACAATCACTACGATCGGAGTCGGAGACAATCACCTCCTCCACTCAACGATCCTTGTTGCTCCAAGCCGTCTAGGTGGCGGCAACCACCAAGAGTAACAAGCGAAATCCAAGAATGAAACACAATCACCAAGTGCCTCTAGATGCAATCACTCAAGCAATGCACTTGGATTCACTCCCAATCTCACTATGATGATGAATCAATGATGTAGATGAGTGGGAGGGCTTTGGCTAAGCTCACAAGTATGCTATGTCGAGAAATGGCCAAAGATCCGAGCTTGAGCCGCCATGGGGCTATAAATAGAGCCCCAGTGAAATAGAGCCGTTGTACCCCCCTTCATTGGGCTAACGCGGGGTGACCGGACGGCGCCCCTCGCCGATGGGTCACGTGATTCACGCCACGTGTCCCCGCTTCAAATCTTCGTTCGTCGATTTCAGGTCGTCATGGTGACCGGACGCTTCGAGAAATCGACCCGGACCGGACGCTGAAGCCTCGGCGTCCGGTCGTTTCAAGAAGCTCCCCGAGGCATGTTTTTCCGACCCGACGCGTCCGGTCCACCTTTGATCGGACGCTATGACCCGGCGTCGGTGCTCAACCCTAGCCAGCCATCGTGTTGTCTCGACAAATTTCGGACCGGACGTAGCCTTTCGGCGTCCGGTCATTTGAGTGACTCAAAGCGTCCGGTCATGAGACCGACGCCAAAGCATCATTTCGATCAACTCTATTTCAACTCTTACTTCTTCACCCTTGCTCAAGAGTGCCAACCACCAAGAATTTTGCATCCGGCGTAATAGAAAATAGACATTTCATTTTCCCGAAAGCGCCGAATCCCGCCGAGCTTGCGAGGCGGGAGGGAGAGAGGGACCCAAACCCATCTCAACCCTACAAACACCTTGTGCACATGTGGTAGCATATTTACACAAATATTATCAAGGGTGTTAGCACTCCACTAGATCCTAAATGCATATGCAATGAGTTAGAGCATCTAGTGGCACTTTGATAACCGCATTCCGATACGAGTTTCACCCCTCTTAATAGTACGGCTATCAAACCTAAATGTGATCACCCTCTCTAAGTGTCTTGATCACCAAAATAAAATAGCTCCTACAAGTTATACCTTTGCCTTGAGCTTTTTGTTTTTCTCTTTCTTTTCTTCAAGTTTAAGGCCTTGATCATCTCCATGCTATCACCATTGTCATGTTATGATCTTCATTTGCTTCTCTACTTGAAGTGTGCTATCTATCTCATGATCACTTGATGAACTAGGTTAGCACTTAGGGTTTCATCAATTTATCAAAACCAAAGTAGAGCTTTCACCTGTCCATGGTTTTATTGGTCCCATTGATTCATCCAACCACACGGTAGTGATCCATAGATGATCCAATTCCATCCGTACAAATCTAACCAACCAAACACATCCTAAAGCCACTAAGGTGAGAGGATGATTGCCAACTTCATTACTTTGCTGAGCTCCCCAATATACTTTTCATACTTCTGTTTTAGGAGAAAGCAACGGACATTGTGGCTCATTTTCCTTGAGATATTTCCATGAACATGTCCATTCACAGTGACCAGAGAGCCCGTGTGACCAGCGACGGAGCCAGCGGTAGGGCTGGGGGGCTAGCCCCCTATCAATCCTGGGCACGTGGAGCTCCCTTAAGTTTTTTCTTAAAATTTTATACATATATGTATTAGATAAGAGAGACTAAGGTTAAAAAAAAATAAAAAAATCTTTATTCTTTTGTTCACTCCTAAATTTTTTTCTGGCTTCGTCGTGACGGAAGCGGATGAGCAACAACACGCTGCGCTGCACCAGAACGGTCCCTGGTTTGACTGACTCACGGGTGGGCCGAGCACTCCAACGACGACGGAGAATCCTACGCCGGTCTGGGTTGGGTCCCGGTTGCAGTTTTTCATTCACTGACCGGAGTGTACGACGACGAAAAAACACGACAGCATTTTTTTTGCGCGGCAATTTCTGGTGTGAGTCGCGCACCCGCGCTCCTCTTTTCTCTCATGTTCCTTCCCTCTGTAATTTCTGCTCCATGCAGGTGGTCCTGACCCTGCGTCCTTGTGGGGCCGGCGTGTCATTGACGTCGCAGTCAAGGTCTTGTAATAAAGCCGGTCTTTAGTGTCTTCACACATCGTAGCTCCCCATGGAATTGGTAGATATACACAACAACGCCACCCAGCACTTTACTACCATGGTTATGTCTTCATTCTCTCACTAATAAAACTGGGTATTCATTCTCTCACCTAAAAAAACTGGGTATAACGAGAAGAAATTATGAATAGTAAGAGGCGAAAGATACACATAACAGCAGTATTAACTGAATTGTCCCACCTTCACATAAAAAGTATTTTTTAGAGTACGCATTAGTGGTCCTTGAAAATTAAATATGAGCCTTTAGGCTATATGGATTGATTCATACATATTATCTATATACATCTTATACAGTTAAGGATGTTAATGTTGTGAAGAGTCATATTAGCCAATGCGTTCTGATGACGCTTGTTTTTTGTGTATCGAGACATTTCGCTGGTATTATGATGTGATTGGCTTTCGTATGAAACCAACTTGGTTAGCACATAGTAGCTAGGCTCTACAAGGACAGTTTATTTGGCTTCTATCCATCCTGGTTGACTAGGAACGCTGATTGGTTGATCAATTCTTTGATTCCCACCCTCTCGCTCATGTAGACGTGAAGTATTTTTATGCCTTGTTCCGCATCATGCAGAGCCATGCTGCTGGGAAACACAATTTTTTCGTGGGGAAACAAATGATTTTTTTTGCGTCCCAGGAGCCAGGTTAGCTAAGGCCTTTTATATGTCAACAAGCTAAGCCCAAGCCTTGATGAGGTCAACTAATCATCCAAAAGTTGCACCTTATGTGTTTGGCAGACCAAATACGAAGGACCCAATCACAACCTAAATGTATGTGCGATCACAAACCTAAATTTGAGATGCTGTTGTGAATAAGGCAAGAACAGCTAAATAAAAGGGATGATGGGATAGGTTAAGACACTGATGAAGCAGGATATTTTTGTTGAAAGAAGTGTGCAATCCTAGTCCTACGATGATCAAGCAGACAACAAAAAAGATCGAACTGTGGTCAAAACGCGGTGGCTTCTAGCAATATTAGGACGAGGAGGCTCTTTCACAACTATAGTGAACAAGCACGACAGGGCACGACTGTCGTACCGGGCTGAGCCTACGATTTGATCTCCTCTCCGCCGCCTCCTCTGCCGGTGCGGGGGCGCGGCGCGAGTCATGGAGGGGAGGTGTCGAGGAGAGCCAGCGACATAACCCACCTCTACCCCACCTCAATTCCACTCCTGTGAGCTCGCGCCTCCTCCGGCGCCGTCGTCTTCCCTCTCTCAGCCCCTCACCTCGATGGACTCACTTGCCGCCGCCTGCTTCTGCTCCCGCCGTCGCCGCGCTCGCCGACTCCTCCTGGCCGCTGCGGCGGCGACCGCCGGGTACGGCCTCTACCGCCTCTACTGCCACCACCGACGCCGCATCGTCGCCGCCCTCTCCCTTGCCGACGCCGTGTCCCAGGTCGGTTCCGACTTCGCCGAATTCCTCCGCTCCGACTCCGACCAGGTCCCACGAAGCCTCCTCCAGCTTTCCAAGCTCGCCTCCTCCGAACCCGTCTCCTCTGCTGCGTCTTCCCTCTCCGAGTCCCTCGCCTCCGGCGTCCTCCGCGCCATCTCCTCTCGCCAGCGCCAATTACATCAACAGCAGCAAAACCCCCAAACCCCGCTCCAAGATCGGATCTTGGATCGCCTCCTCTCCCCCGAGGGTGCCGGATTCGGCTCCGCTGTCGTCGGAAGCTTCGCGAGGAACCTCGTCTTGTCCTCCTGCGACGCCCGCACGTCCGAGGCCGGCGACCGCGAGGAGCCGCGGTGGCTGGCTGCGCTCTGCAGCACCACGGGCAAGGAGGCTGCTGCGGACCTCGTCCGAGTCTTCGTCAGCACTGCCGTAGCTGCCTACCTCGACCGCACCACCGCAGTGCGCACCAACAGCCAGCTACTCGCTGGCCTCTCTGACCCAAGGCACGAGGCCAAGGTCAAGGACTTGGCTGTGTCTGTCTGCAACGGTGCTGTCGAAACCTTCCTCAGGACGTCGCGGCAGCTCACCAAGGAGGCCTCCGATGCTCGCATTGAGGCAGCAGCAATGCAGCGTGTGGTGGATGATTCAGACACCAACAGCGTGATCCAGAAGGTTTCAAGCACACTGGCTGCTCCGAGCAACAGGAGATTTATACTGGACGTCACAGGCAGGGTCACCGAAGAGACGGTCCGGTCATTCCTTGACTTCCTAGCACAGAGGATGTCTGATGGGGCCAGGAAGAGCATTGTCATCGTCCGTGATGAAGTTGCCGAGAGAGGGCTCGTTGCTGTTAAGTACATTGGCGCCAAGTCCATGGCCATCTTCACCATCTCCCTGGCATTGTGCATGCACATTTTGATGGGAACAAGGTTCCTATTGCCGGCCTAGCTACCTGGCTGGTTGGGAGCTGGAATTCCATGACAGGTGATTGATTACTACTTGTCCTGATTGTAGGTGCAGAGTAAATTATGTAGATTTGAAATTGATCCTATAATACTAGTCCTCTTTTGTGTGTTGGTGAAAAGTATGAAAATTTAAGCTAGAAACCGGTGGATTTGTAGTTGGTTTTTGTTTGTTTGGTTGAAGGAAGTATATATGCATCTGAATTCTGAAACGACACTGGCCAATTTGGCAACGCGGATTTGAGGTTAGACACCTCTGTTGTTGCGTCCTAATAGCTGTCACTAGCTTGCTATTGCTGGTTGTTTTTGTTGTTATAAGCTGTTGATCAATGTAAAACAACCAGGTAGAGCAGCAGGAGCTTGCTCTTGAAACTCTCTCTTTTGTACATTTTTTTCAGTTGTAAGAAAGGGGGAAATGAAGTGAATAAAGAAGTGAGGTTGATTTTGCACATGTCCCTTTGTCTTATTTTCCTTTTCTTATTAAACTAATTGAGCTCAACTAAATGATGAATCAATGCAGCCATCCGTAGATAGGATCTGTGCTACTTAAGCAGTAGCTCTTATACTTTGCCGCTGACCTTTGGTTTCGATTAGCACTTATCATTTTAAAGTGGTGTCACTGAGCTTATACATGTCAATTGTCATATCTTATATCTACCATTCATTTCCAATTTCTAAATCCACGCAAGACATTTGCTTGACTTAAACATACTATTCAAGTATTTTTCATACCAGTTAGTAGTATACCATCTGCTATGCTTTCTGTCAAGTAGCAGGTCTGCAAATCAGCTCAATTGATTTGGAGTATGTCCTTGATTTGCCATATTTGCCCCTCTCATCCATGGCACGGAGGAAATTTGCACAGCTCAGCTCAATGCATGTGGCACCCCCAATGAACCACATTTAATTCTTTATACCTAAGTGGGATCTGCTGGCATTTAATTGGGTGTTCCAGTAAGATGAAACAACTGTGTAGGATTGGCTTCCCTGTATATCATCAGACTAGCGCCATGCTTCTCTCTAGTTTAGCAGCATGTGCCATCCTAATTCCAGAGATGTTTGAAGACTAGAGGTTAGTTTGCTTGGTTACTACTTAGATAAAGTTGATACCAAGAGTGAATGATCTGGGCCGATAGTCAACCTGGGTTGGGTAAGGGGTGGTACCAGGAATGGTCCTGACGTGGTGGTGTTGTGGCCTCAACTGAGTGCATAACAGATTAATCATGGAAACAGTCAAATGCATGCATGTTTCGATGGGAATGATGTTCCTATTGCTGAATGAGCTAAGCTGGGTGGGAGCAGAAATTCCATTTCTAGGTTATTGATTACTACTTTTCATGATTATCCCTGTTCGCTTCGCTGAAAAGATAAGCTGAAAAGTACTGTTCGCTGATTTGGTGTGAGAGAAAAACACTGTTCCTTCGCTTGAACTTATCAGCCGTACTTTTCTAGCGAAGGAACAGTGTTTTTCTCCTACAACAAATCAGCGAACAGTACTTTTCAGCTTATGGCTGGCTGTGGCTGCAGAGCAAAATATGTACATCAAATTGATCTTGTATACTGCTAACTGTCCTTTTGTTTCTCATCTTAGTGAAAAGTATGAAAGCGCAATGTAGTAAAGGTAGAAACTTGTTGGATTATGGTTGGTTGTTAGCGATTGTCGGTTTGGTTGATGGAGGCACACATGTGTATGCAGCAGCGAGATGTCTAGATCACATTGGTCAATTTGGGGGTTTTTGTGAGTATGGTCTGTATGGAGACCTGTATTGTTGCTTCCTAGTAGTTGTGAATTGATTAGCTTGTAGTTGTAGTAGGTCGTTTATGCTGTCTGTCAATGTAACAAAAATTAAAAAATACCATCCAGAACAGCAGGAGCAGAAAACTTGTCTGCTTATCCTTGACGTTCTCTCTGATATGATTTGTAACAGAGAAAATGAAGTCATGCCTTCTGTATTTCCTGGCTTCTTAATATGACCTTTGTGTTTTTTCCCCATTTTTTCTTGCGAATGCAGTCCAATGTACTCAAATGAAGCATGAATTGAAATAACCTGTGGTGATTAAGTAGCTTTTACTTGGTCATTAACCTTTGGTGACCACTATTGCTTTGTACTATGACTAAAGATAAATGGCATATGTGACTTCTTTTTCCAGACTTTTCAATTCCCAGAACATGTGTATTGTCCTGGATCCACTATTTGAGAAATTACTTTTAGTAGAGTACACCATCCGTGACTGTCGTCCTGCAAGAAGCAGGCAATGTTAGACCGTTAGCATGTGTTAGGTTGTGGCCAGATTTTTGGAATGGAGTGAACACATCTCATGTTTTCCAGTTCTATGTTTGGTTCAGAGATTTTGTAGAAGTGGGATGAGTCACTGACTTGTGGGGTTTATGTGACAGCCTCTCAACGTCGTCTTCAACCTCCTGCACGCCACCGCACCAGCTCGCCGAGGCCACGCCGGGCCCTTTGTTCGCCCAAGCCACGTGCGGGCTGCCGCGCCCACTCGCTGAGGCCGTGGCCCTTGCTCGCTCGTGCGCGGACCGCCACCGCTGCTTGCTCGCTCGCGCGCGGACCGCCGCCGCTCGCCCAATCGCGTAGCTCGCCAAGGCCATGTGCGGGCCGCTGCCCCTGCTCACCCAGGCCACGCGCGGGCTGCTGCGCCAGCTCGCCGAGGCCACGACGCTTGCTTGCTCGCGTGCGGGCCGCCGTCGTCGTTGTTGCCACCACGCCGCCCCCGCTCACCGAAGCGCGTAGCTCTCTAAGACCGCTCCTGCTCGCCCAGGCCACGGTGCGTCGAGGCTGCGCCACCGTTCGCTTGCCCAGGTGGCCGCGCGCGCGCGCCGCCCCGTCTCGCGTAGGTTGCACGCGAGGAAGATGCAGGTCGAGTCGGTTTCTTTGTTTTTTTTACGGATGGGTTGAACACGCATGCACAAAATATTCCCCTTCTGGATGAATCTACGAGCCATTTGATTCTACCATTGGTAACACAAACGTAAATAAAGCTATTGATGTTACTTGTGGAAGATACTCCGTACAGTTGAACTAACTTCATTTATATTTGCGTTACTGTAAACCAACCAAACAACACGTTAACTCACTGGTCTCCCAACTAAACACTCTAAAAAAAATGGGTCTAACCTATTCCAACCCACTCTAACCCCCAAACTGAACACATGTATATTGCCCGTGCTAACGCTACAGTGACAATTCATCCGTACACATCAAAAGAAGCAAAAGACTATGTTTTCCATACCTGAGAATAAAATGAAATATATAAGATTCAATAAAAAACATAGAGAGTTCCAATTTTAACACTAATTTGGCTATATATAATATTTGAAACTGCAGCACAACACCCATTTTGACGGTACCAATTGAAACGGCAGACCACCTTTGACACCTGAGTGATCACCTGACACATAGCAAATGTAAGAATCTTAGTAATAAACATCTCCCCGACGCTGCCCCAACCTCCCGCCACCACCATCTCAGACATAGATAAATTAGATGGCCAGTAATTGGTGCTGGGATGAAGGATATCATCATTTCTGTATCTAAGGCATTTATAGGTGAAATTGGAGTTCTGAAGAAGAGAATGGGTCACAGGATACTCTAGCCAATAAACTGTATGAAACCTGCCACACGTTTAAGAGAATTAGCAAACGAATGGGTCACAGGATACTCTAGCCAATAAACTGTATGAAACCTGCCAAGAAACAAATAAAGACTTTGTTATAGGTGATTCAGAGTGCAGTAGAACTCATAGTAACAGTTAGATAAGAGATAATAAAAAAACCAATAGACGCTTATGCGGAAAACCTGATACTTTTAGGCTCAAAAAGATAAAGTGTAAATTATTCAACATTTTTTTCATCGAATGACGCAGGAGAACTAAAAAATTATTCAACATAACTGACAACTGAAGATAATATCATATTTAACTGGAAGAGTCTGATCGTAGAAATAAAACAATGGACAAAACTGGACCATACAGATATATTATCGGCTAAACAATAGTAAGTAGTTTATTTGGATCTAAATAGCCAACCGTGGTAGCAAGCAACAGACAATTTTAGCAACTGCCGAGAGACCACAAAAATGTTTTCTAGTGAAGACTGGCCTCACCTGCTCGTAAAAACTGCAACATGTGCCAGCAAGTGCCACTCTTACACATAATTCTTTAGGCCTTGTTTAGATTGCAAAATTTTGCAACTTGGACACTGTAGCACGTTTCGTTTGTATTTGACAAACTTTGTTCGATCATGAACTAACTAGGCTCAAAAAATCCATCAAGTGATTTACAACCAAACTGTGTAATTAGTTATTTTTTTTACCTACATTTAATGCTCCATGCATATGTCCAAAAATTGATGTGATGGAGAGAGAGTGAAAAAACTTAGAATTTGGAGGTGATCTAAACAAGGCCTTAATATTAACTCCCTGCAAACGTAGTAAATTTAGTATTCAGCAATTTCAAATCAGTGAAGAGTTAAAATATTGTAATATTTCTTGTTTTCCAAGCTGGCTATACTTACAGCACTCTGTAGATATGATGGGCTAAACGTGATGCCATCTAGTGGAGCAGATAACAAGAATGCCATGACAGTCATTCATGGCAGTCACAACATATATGGGGTGCAGTGTGCACAACATATATCCAAGCATGTGGATCAAAGCCAAAGGTATGAGCTTTGCATACTGTATCAGCGAATAAATAATAATTCATCGCATCAGTTATATGATTGAACCAGTTTTACAGAACAATACAAGCTTATAAGAATTTATTAAATATAACCAGTTGACTCTTGGTACACAATATCTTGAAGAAGTAGTAATCTCTCTCCTTCTCTAGGCTATCAACAAGGAGCTTCATCTCAGTTATCTGCAAACCATGGAATTCACACAAGTCGTCAAAATTCTAGTGACCAGAGTCAATGATTACGAGGCTCACAACACATGCCGCCATCTAACAAAAGGGTAGTATTTC